TACGTTACAAGTTTAAGACCGTTAAAGTCTTGATTACAATGCCTTCTACAAAATAAACAAAGTACCGACACTTTACAAATAATTTGCATCCACTAAGCATAAATTGCAAAATTTGTCAAAAATGTATCCACCAATCATAACTATATTTGTGAGGTCCGTCTTCAACCACGTCCTGGTCATATCCTGAAAAATAATAATAATGGGGTGAGCACAATGGCCCAGTAAGAAGTGCCTAAAACGCACTCCTTAATGATCCCGTGAATCCAAACAAAGAATGGCATAAAGAAAGAGGGGTCATATTTATTTTGGGGGAAAATATAACATCACATACAATCCACACATCACAAATGCAATTTTATACAAGTCCATGTAATGAGATGTCACTCCCTACTTCTAAAGCCTTTACCCAAATCAATTTCCTTTGTTTCCAAACCAAATTCCCCTTTTCTTGCCCCATACTAATGCATGAATGCCACATGTTGTTCAATACTATAAAGTTTCATGCTTTGACCCTCAATCATAAAGCAAGCTTAAATAAGAACACCACACCACAATCATCATGTTATTACTCAACAAGCATAGCACTTTACACAAGACGATCATGAAACATACACAATAAACACTTATCCTCACAACAACTCATATAGTCATGACATTCAACACAAATCATTATATAAAACATAGAGGTTATGCTTGAAAATCACAAACTAAGCATATTATATCAAAAAAATAAGAAATTAACTCACGAAAATCTAAGGACTTGCGGTTTAGAAACCCCTACCTCACTTAGATGTAAAAACCCCCAATTTGAGCCCTCAAATACGAAATTTCTCGGGCGCACCAAAGAATAAATTGCTCACACTCACTTATAGATCTTGACGAGCTCTTCGTTTTGCCGCAAACGACACCAAAAATCTCTCAAAATTGAGAGAAAAATCAAGATTCAATTACATGAAATGAAAAAGAAAGGAAAAGCTTAAGAGAAGAGAGATTTCGTGAGGGAGAGAGAGTGAGAGAATCTGATGGTGGGTATGGCCTTTAGGCCATTAAAATGGAATAAAAGTGGGTCCTCTTACTTTTAAAATATATTTTCTCTTTTAATTTTCCCCCACAAGATATATATACACACACACACACACACACACACACACATATTAAATCACAACCACACATTAGTCATTTAAGCGAATAAATATAAGCAATAATGCATGAAATATAATGGACTCGTGACACAACTTTCGGACACAACAATTCCGATAGCCGGTCCCGCTCGGGACCGTCCGGTTCAAAAAACAGAAAAAAATACCGAAATGGCAACCAATGCATTTTCAAGAGTCCTGAACTCAATGAAATGCCCCTACAAACTCTCGGACACACCCGGCACACCCCACGGCGTCTGACACGCAAAATGAGAAAAAGGCAAAAATGCCCTTGCGAAAACAAAAAATCCCAAAAAATGAAAAATGGCAAAAATCGGAAACACTACAATAGTTGTTGATACTTGATGTAACCTTAATGTCCATATTTGTATTTTCATGTACTATCCTTGTGTAAGGACTAGTTCATGAGTTATATTTGTTTCATAGCTGTATTGAGAGTATTGTTAATTCGTGTTTGAGTTAGCATGGTTATAAGGTTTTTCATATTGCATAATATGTTCCATATTCGAGAAAATACTTACATGAGTAGTTTAAGCTAGCTATGATTCCATATTATTATATTTATGTCATTGCATTGACAAATATGTCATGGTAGTATCTTTAGACTATAGGGCATGGTTTGCTTGATTTTCGCCGCTTATGTGCACATGAGAAATGCCATATGTGAGCATTGGATATATGGATTAAATTGTAGATTGGTTGATGGTTTTTGGAAGATACTTGAGACCTTTTGATAATTTGTGATTGCGACGGCTTGGCACTCGCAGGCGAAACTCTGATTTCCCTAACATTATAGTGGCCACTAGAGTTGTTACTTGCGGATTAGTAATCCGAAAAGAACTCTTTTACCGATTCATGCAGTAAGTATGTTCGGGGGTGTGGGTGTGTCCATGTTTGTGATACCCCTCGATTCCAGAACACGGGTTGATCAGGTCTGCACATGACATCGAGGGAAACCAGAATAATTAGGGTAATAAACAAACACAAAATAAAAAAAAAGGATAAATAAAGAATAAATAAATAAAGTTGAAAGAAAAACTAAAATAATAATTAATTAACTCAATCCTCGAAAAATAAAAATCCCAATAATAATTAATCTTCTCAATATAAAATATCCAACTCCTCTGATACCAATACAACTCGGGAATCTATAATGTATGGACCCCTAATTAAAATTCAACTAAAAGTAAACAACTGAAATAAATGTCTAAAACTAAAGACTGAAAACATAATGTAGAATCCTACGTAGATAATCAGAAGAGTGATGAAGACTGATCTCTGCTCGGCACGAATAATCACTACGCCTGATACTGACGAACACTTGAAAAATAATAGTGGGTTAGGACTACGAACAAGTTCTTTATACTATATCTCAAACAGAGACCCGATACATGAATATATCTTAGTCAACTTATACAATAGTTACATAGTCCGTAAATACATATAGATACACACTAAAGGACTTTCACTGGACCATAGGGCAGACTCAACCAATAATAGACAACATGCAAAATGCACATATGGTGGGCAGAGTACCATCATCTACCCGGGCACACAACAATCCACTATATTCGGCTATGCATCTTAAAGGTAATATACACTCCCTAACCATTGATTCTGAGATCTTAAGCTCATATCGTGGCACATATCCATATATATATAAATCCATATCCTATCCAGAACATAAAATAAACTATCCGCCATAGTCTTTCAATGGCATGTCATTCACATATGGATTTGTGACGTGACACGAAGAATGGGACTAAACTTATTAGCCAGCCTATCCATAGCGTGCCCCTATATCCTGACAATGGTGCATAAATTTGAAACCATATCCTGACAATGGTTCCCATACAATCCAATAAATGATGTAAGTATATATATATATACATTAAATAATCCAGAAATAAACATGATAATAATCATACAAATATCCATTGCATTTATTTAAGCAAAATAAACAATTCTAAGTAGCATGCAGTTAACTTACATCATAAGTAATTAACCTACATCTCAATTAAATTGCATAAACCTCTATATTATTGCACATTATTATCTTTTTATGCATTCTGAGAATTAATCATATCCATTTAAATTATAAAAATCAATTTAAACCTCCTACAATAGTATTAAAACCCATAAATCTGAAAATCCAAAACCCAGATCAATTAAGTTGACTTAGTTACCAACTAAGTCGACTTGGTTCCTAACTAAATTGACTTCTTTCCAAAGAAGTCGACTTAAATAGCAACTAAGTCAACTTAGTTGGAACTAAGTCGGCTTGTTCCTATTGCGAGTCATCTTCTTCATCTCCGGTGACATTTGCTTGCTCCGTTCTCCTCTGTTAAGGGTCCTACTGTCCGTACTAAGTCCCAAACAATCCCAAATAATTATCTAAAGACATTATGCATCATTAAAACGGTTTAGAATAAGTTTTCATGCATCAAGATTCAAGATCAAATAAACACATACACATAAACATACTCACTATTTTAAATTCGTTTAAGCATGTAAACACGATCATTTTTACTATTTAATTATCCTAGAATTTACCTAGGCATGTATTGAGCACGAAGCTAAAGGAGAAGAGTAGAACAAGAACTTATCTTTAAGGATTTCGGATTGAAAATCCCAATCTCCTTCTCTGTGATCTACTCTCTGATTTTCGGTGACCTTCGGGTTGCAGTCGAGACCTCTGCTGCTCCTGGTTTATCCCACGAATAGCTTCCTTCTCCTTCTTCTTTGGTTCGGCCCTGCTTCTTCCTCATGCAGTCTCTGTTTCTCCCTCTCGGTTTCTCACGTTCTCTCTCTGTATCTCTAACTCTCTGCCTCTTATGTTATGCACATAAAAAACCCTTTCTTCTGGCAGACTACCATATATATATAAACTACATATATCCCTAATCTCAGTTATAGTATGACTTTGACTTAGAGACTAAGAAAAAGAAAATAATTATAACTATTATAGTATTTATATAATATCTATAATATGTCTATATACGTGTATATATGTATATACATAGTAATTTATATATATACATAAAACTGATCCTTCCTTTAATATTAATACTAATAATAATAATATCCATATAATATGTTGGTCCTTAAGATGCCTATCTTGAGGTTTGCTTTTTTAATGACAACATGATTGTCAAAAGGGGTTCAAAGCAATTTGATTGGCACATTGATATGTTGAGGCTTGGTCAAGTGGATGTTCAGCATAAAGTGGAGGCTCACTCAATGAATTTCTAACTGGTCAAGGCACATTGTTCACAGATTTTATAAGGAAATCACTACAGCCCTCTTTGTGTTTGTAAATTCTGTGGCAGCTCATGAAATGTGACTATAGGTCTTGACAAGGGTTGTTTGGTCTTTATACATATTTTAATATCCATATTACATGTGGCTATGATGCTACATTGTGTATGTGAGCCCTAATATTCAATGTGACAGACCTATTCAATGTGACAGCAGTATGCTTTTATTTATTCTGTCAAAAGCAATAGCAGGGGCATTATTGTAATTATGTGTGAAGCTACATGGCCCTGACACGTGCACAGTGGTCCTGGAGAGAGAAACTATGGCCAGCTTTACATTTCTTGGAGCTCAAGATCAAAAAGGCTTTTCTGGTATATACATATATATATTGATATTGTGAGCTGGTATATACACTAAAAAGTGTGTTGTCAAGCGGTATAAAGGTACTATTACCTGTACAATGGTAGAATTGCTTTTCTCACGGATTGAAGGACCTCAGCTCAATCCTATCCATTGGTTTTAGGGCTGCATTATCAAGGGTCTTGAGTATAAATACAATGTTATGGCTGCTGCTAGGTTTTAAGGGGCCTGAAAAATATATTGTCAACACTCTCTAGAGGCTGTTCTTGAGTGACACGAAAAGGGAAGCTAAATGAGAGTTTCTGTGCATTAATTAAGCTATGTAAGATCATTTTAAACTCAGAAATGGTGTGTGCATGTGATCACTTGAAGACTTACAAGTAACAGTGTTGTTAAGGCTTAAAAAGGTGCTATCAAGGCTGCTATGGGGTCCAATTTTGTTCCAGAGGCTTGAGGTGAAAAATATAGGTTGAAGCAAGTTTAAATAACCTATTTGCATCTGCAAAAATTAGGTATAATCTTAAATACTCACTGATACAGAATATGACACTTCTGAGCTTGTTATTTGAGGGTTTTGAGATAAATTTGCTGCTGTGGTGATATTATTTGATTTATATACTATGAGCTATGTGTTTAACATCTGAGAATGAGTAACTTGATGATTTGATGCCGTTAAAGTTGGATTTATCTCAGAAAATTGGCCAGTTTCAATAATGACCTTTTGAACCACACTTCACTAGGGTTTTGACCTTGTTTGCTGAGGATTGAGAACTGAATATGAAATATATTGTTTCCATTGCTGTGATTACCTTTTGAACATGTGTATAATGCCTATACAATGTTGTGAAAACCTAAACTAGTCCTGAGCAAGTTGAAATTCCAGAATTGCCCTAAGAATTAAGTTGCTGCTGAACTGAGACTAAACTAACCTGTTGTGTACTGTGATCTTTTGGAATATGTGTTGAATTGCTTTACCTTGCTTTGTTCTTGATTCTAATATGTTAAGCAAGTGTAAAGGGAAGTTTAGGAGTTGAGGTAACTGAAGTTTAAACTGAATTGGGGAGCTACATTGTTTACACATTGGTGCTGTTGCTAGCTGAAATATTCTGCAGAAACAGGTTTATAACAGATTTTGTGGATGAAATTGAAGTGTTAAATGAAGGGCTTGAACTCTAAGCTTTTGTGAGAAGATGAACCAAGTTTGTGAGAATATTTTCCAAGCCCGAGACCTTACTGAATACCATTTATACCCTCGGTTCCAAGGCATCAAAGTGGCATCAAAACAAATCCTGTGTTGAGCCTATTAGTTACTGATTTATACTGAAATGTCCTAATCTTACTGAAATTATTGAAGACAGTGTTTGTGCAAGTGTGTTTTGACTATGTGAAGCTGTGAGAACCTGTATTTACTGAAGGTTCAAGTGTTTTGACTGAATTGCCCTTGAAGAGCTTGAAATTTAGGGTTTTATGTAGTTCAAGCCTATTGTGAACTAAATTTGTTATCCCTTGCTTTATTCAATGATGTAACCTGCTGAGCAAGTTTGTTTTGTGATATCAAGGTTGTGGATATAGAAGAACTGTCAATGCTGAAGCCACAGGATGATTTGACTGATTTACCCTTCTTAGGGTTTTGAAGCCTTGTATGCTGAAAGTGTTGTGTACTTGTTATCCATTGTTCAAGAATGATTTGAGCAAGTCAGTTGAGCTTATTCAAGGCTGTGGAACCTAGTGTGAGATACAAGTGAAGCTGCATTGTGATTTTATAGTTCAATCCCTCTTGTTGCAGTGAAGAAAAAGTTAGGGTTTCTTACTAAGGGAACTTAAGGTTGTGTTCTACATTCTGATCTAGTGTTGAAGCTGAAGTATAGTGTTCTTGGTGTATTGACACCTTATTGTAAATGGTAGTGAGGATTTGATACCTCACCCCATTGTTGATAAAGCTATTGAGAGCTTTAGGGTCCAAGCAAGGTTGCTTAGGATTGGGGGAGTGCATGCGTGCTTATTCTTGTTGCTTGTGTGTGTGTAGAGGGAGTGAAAGTCAGTGTCCTAGCTAGTACAAGGTGTGTGGAAAGTGGGGCAACTGAGTGAGTAACCATTTGCATGCAGCAAGTGAAGATGAAGAGCTAGTGTGTATGTAATGGGTGTGAAAGTCAATGTTCTTACTTGTACAAAGAGTGTACTAAGAGTAACATAGTTGAGTATGTAACAACTTACATCACCTAGTGGAACTTTTATTGGTAGAGGCCAAGAACCAAGGTTTTTCCCTATTGAGAGGGTTTCCTTGTGAATCTTGTGTTGTGCTGAGTTTGGTTATTCTTATTCTCTTTCTTGTTTTTGATTCTATTAGTCAACTTGAAAAGGAGAAGGAATTGATTTAGACCAATTCACCCCCTCCCCCTCTTGGTCTAACATATATGTATATACACAGTAATTTATATATGTACATAAAACTGATCCTTCCTTTAATATTAATACTAATAATAATAATATCCATATATATATATATATATATATATATATATTAATATATATAACTAATATCCATGGGTAATAATCCTCACCCATCTAGGCTTCCTATTCAAGTAGTCCATGAGACCCATTTGGTTAGTCCATTACTATTATCCAAATCTATCTCCTTTAAATTAAAATAAAATAAAATAAAATAATAAACATTTAAACCTAACAATATAATTACAAATAAATACACATAATTAAACAAACAATTACACACAATCAATTAATTAAATACACATAATTCACTTAAACAAATAAATCAAATAAACACATAATTCACATAACCACATAATCAATCAAATGCAATAAAATAAATAAATAATTCCTCCAATTAATCATTTAAAAATTAGGGGTATTACAAAGTTATCCCATTATGTGATTAAAATTTTATTTTCCAGTTGGCATCCATGTTGCAACTTATGATGTATTTGATTATACTTCATTTCCTTCATAAATAATTATTTGAAATGAATTCTATCTTCGGTTCAATGCTAGTTCTAGGTTGTATTCCTTAAGACTACCGTTGGACATTCGAGGCCCAAAAAAACCTAGTGTATTTCCCTAATGCATTCCCTGCGGAGAAATTTAATTTGCTCACACCCGTTAATTTACATTTTCCAGGTTAAAGGCATTGCCTTTGAAGATTCTTCACTTACTTGTCTTGGAGGATGCATTTGATGCCTGTGGATATGTGTTAAAATGCTATGTGTAGCATTTAAGTCCTATTTCATTTTTAGGACTTGTATCTTTTAGGGTTTGTAATTTGATTTGGGATGGTTGTATACGATATTTGGGATAATGGAATGTATTGAGGCCACAAGGTTATTTTAGTTTCAATGTATGGATTTCATTTTTATCCACACTACATGGATGATCTTGCACTCACATTTTGATTACAAATGTCTATGCCATGTTGTAAACTGCACGAGGCCTTGTATACCATCCATTGTGACACCATTGATGATTCGGACTTGGTTGTAATGATTGTATGACGATTAGTTCATGTTAAATGACTACTTTACCTTGGCTTCCACATTTGTTTCCTGGTTTCTCGGGTGACTCGCTTGTTTTCGCTTGTCCTTTCCCCTCCTTGTGTTCTTGGAACGTGGGTGATATCATTTTGGCTTCATTGACTCACCTTTCGTGATCACATTAGCCATGTGGGTTTTCGCTTCCTCATTTGGGTTTGAATTTCGGGTCGAGTTTCCTTTATTTCACTCGTGCATCGGGTCATGGGGATTCGGGGCGTGGCATAAGCCACCAGGGTTGGCATGTAGCCATGGTTGATGAAGTGGTTCTTACCGGCGACAACCTCAAATGAATGTAATAGGATGTCAATGGGTCTTTAAGACAAAACTCAGGTCTGATGGGTTCTTGAATCGGTTGAAAGCCCGACTTATAACAAAAGGATACAATCGGCAAGGTGGTGTCGACTTCAATGAGACATTCAGACCAATCATCAAACCAGGACCTATTCGCACCATTCTCACTGTTGCTACAGTTAAAGGATGGAATCTTCACCAAATTGACGCCAAAAATGCCAAAAATGCCTTTCTTCATGGGACACAACCATCGAGTTTTGAAAACACTCAGTATGCCAAAGCATGTTTGCCATTAAGGCACAATTTGAGAACATATGAATGAATTAATTCAAGGAAATTTTGTTCAATTCTTGGTTGTCCGAAATGAACATACCTAGCAGTCCGTCCATTTAAAATTAGGTAGATAAATCCTGTTCCAGTGCGGACTGTGAATAAGAATTAAACTACTTCACAACAGAATAGGCATTTCCAATCATATGAGCATTCAAATTTATATTTTTTCCTGGCCACAACTTGAATATTCATTCCAACAAGCCTCAAAACTAGGAAATGGCATTTAATAGTTATGGTAATAACACAATAACTTGAGCAAACCCAGATTGTTTTTATTTAGAAATGGAGCATTTACCTATCTCCACTTGCAAAAGGACACGCATTTCAGTTGTTTTTCAGTCACAAATATATATAGCAAGTCAGAAATTTCACACACACAAGCGGCGTATTACCATATACATGGACATACTATATACTCTGTCCAGAATGGGGCTCAGGATGTTCAGAACTCCCTCTCTGGGAATAGATGGGGGGCAACAAGTGACCAGAGGAACAAAGATCCAGTTGCCCACCCGGTTATGATTCGTACCCACACAGATGGCCATCCTACATCCACCAAATTCCCGCTCTCCCCAACTGAGGTAGACCACCCTGTAAGAAGCATTGCCGAGTACATGCTAGCAAGGGAGAAGATGAGATGGAAGAAGGAATATGAATATGAAACTGGCTTAGCTCGTTCTTTCTCCTTCTCTTCCTGCTCAACTACCTGGTCCACCGGTAGCAAAGGCTTCCCAGTACCTTCACCATGAAAATCAGGATGTCAGAATATCTGATTTATACCAGCCAAATACTAATTTGGACACAATGTTGAATGGCCAAAAAACAGAATTCTCATTTGCCAAAAATGCAAATGTTAACATTTCTAAAATTGTTGAAGTGGTACCATCAAAAATAAAATGAGAAAATCGATGAAGATAGTTCAACCATGTACAGCGAAGAATATTACTAACTACACAAATGGAAAACAATGGCATGGTTGAATGTAGAATCTAATTTAATTGAAGGTGTGACTTTAAGAGTGGAATGGCAAAACAAAAATCATGTTGCCAACTCCAAGGAATTGGAACAACGCTTTGATGAACTGAGTTGATCGTTGCAAGATGGAGTGTAACAAATACAATTTATGATCTTTAACTATTTTTGCCAAAAACTAAATATCAAAAAATGCCCAAGGAAATCTCACAAAATAAGATATAAAAAATAATAGTTCCCTTACCAAATAAATTCCTACATCAATTTTCGGGTATTGAAATATCAAGAAAAAATTCTCAGCATGGAAAAATTCATCCCAAAACATAACATTCGCAAGAAGGTACACAACATTCGCAAGAGGGTACACGCTTAACATATCTCCAAATATTTTCTGTGAGTAGCATGAAAAAAAATTTCATAACCAAACACCCTCCATCAGTTAAATGAACACTGACCTGCACGGGGTGAGCTAGGTGCGGAGAGCAAAGTTGTAGAAGAACCAGCACGGACTGCAGAATAGACAACCGATAGAATTGTTGTAAGCAGCCCCACAGTAAGGGTCCCAGTCGAGACAGCTTTAGAATGCCTGTGAAGTCCATTGCATTCGTATTCCCTTGGTTCACTGGCAAGTCCACTATAGCAGAGGTATGTGCAGTACAAAGATATAACTGAAGCTGGCAAAATGCTGCCACCAACCTTTTTTGCAACAATAAAAGAGCAGAGTATAAACGTGCACGTTACTTTACCATCTATAAGGTTCAATCATTGAAGTAATTATCACACCGAAAGGTGAAAACCAAAATAAGTAATAAGCATAAATAAATGAAACGATGTAATAAAATATGAAGCTAAATGGAAGGAATCATGTCAATATAAGACAAAACTGGATGACTTCTCTATTTGGCTAGAAACCACCGAATCCTTGGGGGGGGGGGGGGGGGGGGGGGGGGGGGGGGGGGGTGTTGTTGGGGTGGTGATCAAAACCATTTTTGATGGAATTCCTCACAAACCAGCTTGTCTTATTACTGGAGAGACTTGAAGAAAACAATACACGAGTAGCATTACCCAGTAAATGAATTCAATTGCGGAACAGATAAAAGACCATAGATGCATAGACTAGTTATATATAGAATGAGCATCTGAACATTCAAGGTACATAATTCCTAATGAACAGTTACAAATCAATTTAAACTACTGGTTTAAACTTGGCTCATTAACAACATGCTTAAGCATCCTATAGGTTAGTCAAATGAAGCTTGAAGCTTGAAGCTTCACCTTAAATCCAGGCTTGTCACTTCCAATAAAGCATTTGAGCTGGCTCAAAAAGGTTCCCTATTTAATGTTGCTAGGATTAAAACTTAGAGTTGGCAAAATTTGTAGCAAAAGTTGGAGTCCATATTTTAAATTTTAACTTTTGATTAGATTTTCAAAAGTTAGTTTAGTTAGTGGCGGTTTCCATGTCCAATGGCAGAATTATAATTTACAGATACATCAGAAGGAAAAAAGATAAAATCACCACTTGAATAACAAACTCACGAATTAGAGTTCATAATCATGCATTCTTATCATGACTCATATTAAGACACAATTCATACGTGTTTTGATTTTTGAATGCATGAAATTGTTTTTAAAATAAATATATTTAAAGAGAATTTTTACAAAAACGAAATGGTTCAATTGATCAAAAGGTTAACTAAGAACCCCAAGGGGTTGGCCTAGTTGGAAAAGACTTGGGTATTGGTGCCATATGAAGCATCAGGTCTCAAGATCGATTCTTGCTAGGTGCAAACAATTCCTTGGAGGGGGTGTGTGTGAGAACGAACTAGGAACAAAAAAAAAGGTTAACTAAGATTTTTTATCTTCAAATCCCTGAGAGCTTTGATCAAAGGCTCAATTGGTCGAGGCAATGCCAGTATGGTTTGATCGGATGCTCGGTCGATTGATTTGTGTTAAGTATCTTTGGAAACTCTATTAAATTAGAATCCTAAAAGGTTAAGGTTTTTTGTTCTGACTATAACTAAGAAACCCTAATTCCTTAAGACTCAAAGCACAATATAAACACCTCTAAGCTCTCATAACACATACAAAGAGATGATGTCTATACACATTCAAGAGATTATAGAGAGAAATCACATATTTTTAAAGAGCATATTTTATTATTCAAAGTGTCGAATACCTTAATTATTGTGCAGCACAAAGAATCCAACAACAACGTGTTTCTACACAACAAACAAGCAACTTGGACAGCTAGCTGAGGGAATCAAAGTGCTCATGAAGCGGATTGCATGAGGAGCACGATCTGATAGAGCGGACTGTGTGCCTAGAGATTCAGTGGAGAGTTTGGTGAATCAGTCCTTATCAAGAGGTAACTAGGGGTTCCAGGATCTGCAATTGTTAACCTAGTTATAAAATATTTCTCATAGTGGATTTGATCTGCCTAAACTAAACTCTAATTTTGATGAATCAAAACATGAAACCTTAATGCATAAATGCATCAACCCTAATTTTGGTGAGTGCATATGGTAGTGTCAATTGCTTTGTACCATCAATGTTGATGATGACGGTTCTGCCCTTAGTTGAAGCTTGAAATCCAACTTTGACCTCGACTTAAAGGTAACTAACTTGACACTAACTTTTAAAATTCTAGCTAAACCAAAAAATAAAACAAAGTTTACAGATTCTAGTTTTGATTCACAAAATATGCCTACACAAGTCCTATTGATCAAACATCCCCTAAACCATTTACTCAATTTTTGAGTGCATCCAAGTATCCAACCATGACATAAACAGAAAGCATAAACAGCAAAAACACCCACTACTGCTCTAAGGAAGGAATGACCTAATATCATCATCAGACTGCCTTTTGTCAAAACATAGCCATAATAAGCCCATAGCAATATCATTCAATCATTGTACATTTACTATATAAATCTATTTCCTTCAATCAGATATTTATGCCAACGAGTATAGTATGCATATATGGAAGATAAAATTGGACCAAAATGTTAGTGATTGGCAACAATAAAAGGAATAGAAGACTAGAAACTTACAGCAGGGTGCAGTGTCACTATAGTGAAAACGAACACAAAAATCAGTGTCATGACAATAAAGAAGGTGTTGAGTCCACAGTCATGTCCAGACGGGGAAAACAAATAGAAGAGAAGTCCAGAGAACGAAAATGTTGCCACATAGCAAACAAGTGAAACAACAAGCAATGCAATGTACCTGCATATTTAAGAGTTGAAGTCAAAGAGAGAGAAACTAGATTAGAGTCATCAGACATGCCTAGAATAACAACTATAGATTATCTGAAGTCGATTTAAAGGAACAATGAGTAAGAAAGGCTACAACTAACCAGAACTGCTCATCATATTTAACCCATTTGTCGTTCCATCCATGAACAAAATCCAACAAAAGCACAACTTGAACAAGAAGAAACAACCCTGAGCCGAACTTTGATGTTGACTCTGCATTGAGAAAATGAACTGTAAGCTTAACTCTTCTTTTCTTTTCTTTTTTCCTTTTCTTGCTTTATTTATTTATTTATTTTTCTGTTTGTTTAGTAGGTAACTGTACACTTAATACATCTAACAAAGAAAGAAACATTTGAAGAATGGATTTAATTTAGAGAGAGAGAGAGAGAGAGAGAGAGAGAAAAATCCAATCCAAATCCAATCTTTGTAAAGGAGGAAATCTTGCCAAGTTTACAAGAGATAAGCAACTACTTACATGAAGCAGTGCATCGGAGGTTCAAGATGACATATTCACTTAGTAAATGAGACCCCACAAAACATATTTATACTTATTTTTAGTCTCAGTTTATTACATCAATCCTGCTACATGTTCAATAGTCAATGCTCTTCTTCTCCCAAAAATTGTTGATAAAAGTCTCCTCCCAGTAAAACCATAGTCAAGCTATTAGGTCAGTAGGATTTAGGTTGACAATTTCATACACAACGGATGTCAAAATTTTTTATTTCAGTCTTTTTATATCTTTTGAATTTAGTTCAGTTAGTTGAGTTACTTCAATCCAAGGTTATATCGGAGATTTCAAAGATTCGACAAGGGCATAACAGTAAATTCAACTCTCAAATGTGCACTCAACAAAATTGGGGTTTCATGTTTATGCATTCTCATCAATATTCATGTTAAGGGTTCCTCATAAACATGTTTTAATTTTTAAAAGAAGCTCGTCATTATTCATGTCAGGGGTTCCTCATAAACATGTTTTGATTTTTAAAAGAAGCATTGAATGCATAAAACTTATTTGAATTGAAAAATCTAGAAAACCAAAAATTGCATGAACGGACAATCGAATTTGATCTTGGATAATTGAACTGTGATGATGGTAATTTCCAAAATAGTTTTAAACTCTTAAACAGTTAAAACCCTAATTCTTTTCAGCCTCAAAGGTCAGTATGAAGGCCTCTATCTCTTCAAAACAATACACCAAGGTATTATTAGAGCATCTTGAGTGCATTCTAGCAATAAATTGCTAGAACTTTTGTTTATTTTATTCATCATGAAGCATCTAGGTGGTGAATGGAACTTTTATTGCTAGAACTTTTGTTTATTTTATTCATCAAGAAGCATCTAGGTGGTGAATGCTACTAATTGTTAATCTTCTCACCAAAAGTATTTGTTGGAGGAGAGTGATAGAAGGGTGTTTCATAAAGGTAAAATTTATTTATTTCTCGTCATATTAATCTCATACATAGCCCAAACGAGCTTCCTTTTTCAATGATCCTTCTTCCTTTCTCTGATCTTCGTCAAACACATACAAATACGACCATTAACCACTACCGGAAGATTCAATAATGATCTTTACTTAAAAGAATTCAAATTTCAGATTTAAAATGCGTACACTAATCCAGCACTGACCTTGTCAAGCTTTGATAACTGAATAAGATTATTAAGAGCTAAACTCCATTTAATCATTTATGACTTTAAAATACTAATACAAGTTTCCGGTACACTATATTTGACCATACTCCTCTCCAAAATCCTTCAAGTATTAAAATCTAAATTGCCTTAAATAGTTGACATCCTATTACAAATCCTCATGTGTATGCATTGTGCTAGAAGGCATATAATATACCAACTAACTACAGTATACTAGCTTTTCTACATCAAAATTTACAATGCTTCGAGTATCAAAGAAGAGAAACAATGATCTTATAAGGAAAGTATTATCGTGTGAAAAGCAAGAAAAATAAAACCGAATAAAAAGTTTCAGATTAGCATTCCGTGGAGCCCAAAAATAAAAAATAAAAAATAAAAAACAAAACTGCTTACCATAAAAGCTGATAATCCCATTGGGAAGGAAAAACATAAAGATTACCAAAAGGCACCAGCAAATGATTTTCATCATCCAACCACCATGGTGTAAACTATCACGAGGATCCTTCTGATTTTTCACACCAACCATTAGAACAGCTAGAATGGTGAAAAATAAGAAGTTTCCCAAGCTAACCCGCAGCACGGCATCTGTTTCAAACCACTCCCTATCTGGTGTTTGGTGAAAATGATTAATCCCTGCATAGATGATTTATAAGAAATCAGCTTTAGCTTTGACATTAACTGCATATGACCTCATTAGCTACAATAGGGTCTCAAATTTGGATCAATTTTCCTTCCTCATCATCATTATGATGCCAAAACTTGCACTCAGAGACAGACTAGCTAACAAGTTCACTCCCAAAAACAGCAACAGTACACGGACATCAATGAGGACATTTTTTTTTCAAACCATAATATATTTCAAATTTTTAACTATATACCAATGATTATTAACTAATAAAATTGCTGAGGAAACTACAGTCTTTCTAAATTTGTGAGAGAACAGTCCAAGATTTGAGCAGCAAACCAAAACTATGACCAACATGAAACCAAAATTATAACTAACATGATACTTGGGATCAGTAATATAAGAAAATGGGGAAATAGATGATGATATTACTAGTATGATTGGTGTAGGTTGGACAAAATGGACACAAGCTAGTGGCATTTTATGTGATAAAAAATACCAACCAGGTAGATAGGAATTTTATAGGACGGCTATTAGGCCAGATATACTATATGGGGCAGAGTGTTAAACATTAAGAAAAAAAAACAAGAACAACGCATCCATGTAACTGAAATAAGGATGTTGAGGAGGATGATACGAGTGACTAGGAAAGATAAGAGTTAATAATCGATGCATGAGGGCGACTCTAAGAACAAAGCTTATCAATGACAAAATAAGAGAAAATAGACTCAGGTGGTATGGACACATAGAACCGTTGATGCACCAGTTAAAAAGGGAAGAGTAGTTTGAATAGAAGGTAAGAGAAAGTGAGGCTGGCCAAAACTAACATGGAATGAAGTAATTAAAGATGACTTTAAAACATTAAATATTAGAGGAGATATGGTATACAATGAAATAGTAGAATGGAGAAAGATAATCCATATGGCCTACCCCATTATATGTGGGGGAAAGGCAAGGATGATGGTGATGAGGAGGAGGAAACAACAATGAACATGGTCAGTACTATCCATGCACCACATATTTTATAATTGTTGTGTATAACCTGAGTCATGCTAATAGCCAATTAGCACAAAAGATAAGATAACGTTTTAACAATATGAAACTCTGCATTGTAAGTGCTGCATATAATCATTAAAATGGTAAAGAAAAGGAAAGAAATTCAAAGCCTCTTACAAGGGATCTTTTCCATGAGAGGTGCAGCAACCTCTCTGAGAATCCCCGACACGATCAGCGACAGCGCGAACAAGCCGCAATACGCGATCCGAGCAGATCGTCGGCTAATCCCGGCCACCACCGTGCTGCATGCATTGCATGCGCAGGTGGCGCAGCATGACGCAAGGCAAGAAGCTGCCCACATACCTTCTCACCTTTTCAACAATCCACAACCCACCAACACCGGTTCTGAACCCTATGAATCACAGAACTAAACCTCATCATTTATCATCGATCTCATCATCACATAATAATTCATAGAAATTGAGCAATTCTTCTTTAAATAACAGGAAATAATTGCTTTTATTCGGTAGATAATTGGAAAAAAAAAAAAAAAAAACCCAATTATGCTTTTGAAGTCAATAGCATATAGCGATGATAATAAACCCTAATTGTGAATGAATGAAACCCTACAAGAAATTGATGATTTCGAGTATATATAAATATATAAACATATGTACATGTATACATAGAGATAGGGAGAGGGCTTTGATTGTGTACCTTTTGCGATTGGACGAAGAACAAAGGAAGCACGCGATGATGAGTGAGAGAGAAGACTAGATAATGGCTTGACGATCAGTATTTGGAATATAACGAAACCGTGTTTTATTGGGACAACTAGTGGTTATTTTACTTCACGAGGACCAAAAAAAACCTCACTGTTTTAAGAATCGGTGAGTCCTCAGACTCACCGAGTTGTTGATATCATCGGATTATTTTCATTGTGTGAAATTCTCCCATTTAAAAACAAAAACAAACAAACAAACCAAATTCTCCAATTTATTATTTTTTTATTTTTATTTTTTTACTTTCTAACATGCAATAAGGAAATTGAAGTAGAGTTAAATAATGTCACGGGAAGCGAATCACCTGCTGTGCAATTCCCATGCAGTTTCTTGCAGTGAGCGGTAAGTGACCTTGATTTGACTACGTTTTACTCCACTTAATAGACACTAACATTGTGTTTGGCAATTGCACCACTATTTATAAGTAACATTTTACCACCATTTTTAATTAACGTCACACAAGTTTAAAAGTAATATCACATAATTTAAAAAGTAACATCACCACCATTTATAAGTATCTTTCGCCCCCAAAACGTGGTGATGTTAATTTTTAAACTGTGTGATATCACTTTTAGACTTCTGTGATGTTACCTATAAATGGTGGTGATGTTACTTTTTAGACTATTTTTACATTTTACCACCATTTATAAGTAACATTACAGAGTCTAAAAAGTAACATCACCATTTGTAAAAGGAAATATCACCACTTTTAATTCCAAATAATAACATAAATGATATGTAAAATTGAGTTATGTTTATATGTGACATTACTTTTTAGACTATGTGATGTTACTTATAAATGATGGTGAAATGTTACTCATAAATAGTGGTGTAATTGGCTAAACACAGCCTTAGTGTCCGTTAGTTGAAGAATGATGTGGCCAAATATGGACCACTTAAAAGTTACAGCAGGAAACTGCATGAGAGCCTCACTACAGGTGATTCGCGCCCAATAATACGCCCCCCCACCTCTTGAAATGAAATGTGGATTGTTAGTGTGTGTTAAAAAAACTGTTATTCGGATTCCACCAGTTGAAATGAAATGTGGATTGTTAGTGTGTGTTAATAAAACTGTTATTCGGATTTCATTCGATTGTAATAATTGATATGGATTGAATGAATATATATACTAATCGGTTGTATATTTTATTATTTTAACAAATTTGATATAAATTAAAAATAATTATCCGATTAAAATTATATAGTAATCTAATGAGAAAATTTAATAAATGACAATTTATTTTAGATATGTTACAACAACCATATCCAAAAAGAAAGAAGAAAAATGTCATTTTAACAAAATATATTACAAAAAGATAATACTTAGGTCTTCACTAGTGATGATGCACACCGTCATCACTATTAATGTGAACCAATAATAAATTCATAGGTCCTTTTAGCGTAGCCACAAAGGGACAAGTGGGCCCCACTGAACTACTAAATATTTTAAATTTTATATGCAAAGATTTTTATATTTGTATAATTGCCCCCTCTAAAATTTGATAGTGCACATAAATATACTATATATATATATATATATATATATATATATATATATATATATATATATAAAACCACAATTGTAAATATATATAATATATCTATCAATTTATCACTTTCCCAAAAAATATAATATTTTTTTCCATTTTCCCAAAATATTATATTCTTTCTGACCTTCCAAAAAAATAAAAAAGCATTTCATCAAGATATTCTATCACAATTTTGACTTTACCACAAACAAATGGATTGTTTCCATCACATTTTCAGTCTTCAACGTTTTCCACAATCCAAACAAAGCAAGTGGAACAACCATTTACTGTAGACAAAGACTCAGTTAGTCGTACAGCAGTACGGCAAACTGGTAATCTGCTATAGTTTTTTTATCATCTAAATTTATGATTTATAGGTGCAAAAAATCGTCAATTATAATAAATTGAAGAATAAAAGCAAAACATTCAATAAAATAATTAAAACAATAAGCAATAGATATTCAGAGATTTTTTCAATGATCTTTATTGAAAGCTTATGCCTCTATTTATACAAGATTTAATGATAAATTATGGTAAGACTCGTCATGCTTGTCTGTCACGTTTTATTCACCATTATCCTCCGTCATTATGTTCCATGTAAGGCTTTTCTTTTATACAAGATTCTTTATTCGTATAAATTCTTCCATGTAAGGCTTTTCTTCTATGTAGGGTTCTTGCTTCATATAGATTCTTCTTTGTGAGGCTCATTTGATAACGTAATTGACTTGATCCGAATCATGAAAAATCTTTATCCTAGCTACATATTTGAGTAAGGATTGATAGAGTTGATCTGGTGTTGGGCTGATGATAGTTCTTTTGGGCTTCATCAGGCTGGGCTTAAAAATCATGTCGCCCAGGAGAAATGGGTTATAATTTATTTAATGATGTGGTTGATATTTATTGGTTGGGGGATTTTTCCCTCCACAGTTTGCCCCCAATTCCCTCCTAATTTGAGCAACGGTCCCTAATTAGAAGGAAATTGAATATGCTTGGTTTCCAGAAGTGTAAGAAGCAGTTTTGAAAGTGGCCATTGACATTCTGACCAAAAAACTTCTCCAAAGCTCGTTCTTGTCTTCCCTGTGTTCGCAGCCTCATCAAATTCTCAGGTCAGTTTATACTTTTCTTATTACTTTCATATTATGAACATTCACCCATTCACGATCAAATAGAAATTAGGGATTCTGAAACTACTCCTTCAGTATCGCCTATTCTTCTTAGAATCCCTCCTCCAAAGGTTTCCAACCATTCGAGATTTTGAGCGAACCCGTTGTGAGAGGAGATGATTATTCGCCTTAAGAGGAGGAATCCACTTCTAGATCTGACGAAATCTTTACCAAAGAGGAGAGGGAAATGATTTTGTTAGTCCGTCGCCTCAAGTTCTCTATTGATTATGCAATGAAGGAATTCGAGATCCTTGAAGGGGTAGAAATAGCCGAATACCCTTCTAATGCTGATCTCAGTTCTGGTGAGGGTGTTGGTAAGAACGAGTTACTTTTATTTATTGGTCATCTTAATGCCCTTCGTTTTCCCCTTCATCCTTTCTACCACTTAGTTTTCAATAAATTAGGGATTTTTCCTCTTCAAGTAAACCATAACTTTTTTCAAATAGTCTCTGCTCTCCTCATTCATCGAAGGTTCAAAGGGATTGACTTGAACCTTGCTGACTTATTATTCAGCTATACCATTTCTAAGCGTCAAACTTAAATTGGTCGTTATTTCTTCACTTCGTCTATTAAATAGAGGATATGTAAAGACCTTATTACTTTTGAAAAGAAATGAAAGAAGAGGATGATTATTGTTAGGGGGAATTGGTCCGTGCCTCAATCGAAAAAACTCCCTATTCCTCGGAAGTTTGGGATCTTGGGTATAGAAGGGTTTTCTTCTTTTCATTCAGAATGCTCTGGTTGTTTTCCATGTCAGGTTTTACTTTTTCGTTGTATTTATGAATTTCTTGGTATTTTTTCAGCATCGTTTCCATCCTCGGTGGCTAAGAAGAGACTTGATTTTCTTAAAGAAAAAGTTTGGAAGAACCCTCTGTCCGCAGAAAATCTCTTTTCCTCATTTAATCTTAAGGAACTTGCATCCAGCGCTTCAGCAGCTGCCCTTTTTGATTTGTCATTTCCCTCTTTTGATAGTTTTTCTCTGACTGATGAGGAAAAGAAAAGGGTTGAAACACTTAAGAGAAAAGTTGCAAAGAGTGAACCTCTACTGGTTGTACGCTCTACCGAGCAAGAGAAAGAGGGTGAGGAACTCCCTCTGAAGAAAAATGACAAGGTAAATCCTCCCTCTATTGTCAGAGGCAAAGGCATTAACCTTGCAAAAAACAAAGGGAAAAAGACTGACGAAGCTAAGGCCGAAGAAAAGGTTCGGGCTTTTGTTTTAGCTAAAGTAGGGGAACCCTGGAGGCTAACTTTTTCAAGGGCCGATAAATTGGTTCTTCATTCTGGTGATTCCATGGTCACAGATCCCTCTGCTGCGTTAGCAGTTGCCCGAGGGATGTGGCTTCCCAAAGATGAAGAGTTGATGGGAAATATGGGCCTGGATCAGTTTTTGCCTTCTGCCCTTGTGCGAGCTGTGGAGGTTTATTCTGCTCCTTTTTTTTATTTTTTATTTTTATGTGGTGCCATCATACCTTCTCTGTTTGTAGAATCTATGCTATACCATGGCTTTGTATGCAATCGCTAAAGCTCAATCTATTTCTATTAAGAAAATGGAAAAAGGATTTTGTTGATGTGGAAAAGAAGCTCTCTAATGCGTAATTGGATATAAAAATTTGTTCAGACGCAAGAGATGTATTCCAAGGTCAGCTTGCTGCTGTTGATGCCAAAGTAAAAGAGTTGGAGACTGAGAATCAGCATTGGAGAAGCAAATGCAAGACCATTATTCTTCCTTTGTGCGCTTATCCAGTGCCAGAGCTTTTAGATTCGGCTTCCTCCAAGGCTCAGGCAACAAACAGAAAGACCCGAAGGCATTTGATAAGGATATGGAGGTATCTTTTCCTTATACCGATGGTCCCAAGGCTCAAGAGGCAGAGGTATTGTTCGCAGAGATGGTGAAGAGTCACCAAGTGGGTCCTCAAGCTCCTAGCTCTTCAAATATTACTCCGGCTCAGGCCTCAGGCCAGAATGTGGTAGATTCCTTTGCTCCTACTCCTTTTGATCCTAAAAGGAAATAAATTTAATTTTGTAATCTTGTCTGAACAAGTAGATCTTTTGTCTCTGAACAATATTTATAATGTAATATGGTTTCCTTATTCTGCATTTTTAAAGAGTTTCTAACTTTTCATACTTTTTGTGGATCGAAGATAATTGCTTTTCCTCGACACATTTTTGTGTTAGAGAAAATTTTGCCCCTTTTAGGGCCTTCTGACTCTTTATAGTCCGAAGATATTTCCTTGGCACGTTCTTGTGCCTTAGAGGAAATTTTGCTTTCTTATAGCCTTCGGACTCTTTATGGTCCGAAGATGTTAGAAAAATGAGTGGCAAGAAGGAGGTTCCTGTGATGGTTGGGTCACTAATTGGAGAAGTTACACCACTTGGTAATCTACCTA